GCAGGTGGGGTGGCACTCCTGAGATGGTGTTCCTTTTTATTTTTGGAGCAGGATGGTGAGGAGATGACTGGAGTTGGCTCTGTTCTGTCCCATTGCTTGTCATCTTCTCAGCCTTCTCCTCCTCTCTTTTCCCCAGGACCGCACCCCAGCATCCTCTCATTACCTGCTACCATATTTGTCTGGTGGGGCTTTGGTGGTTCAGTGGTAGAATTCTCACTTTCCACGCTGGAGACTCAGGTTCAATTCAAGGCCAGTGCACCTTGTGAAACTACTATCCATCCATCATTGGAGGCTTGTGTGTTGCTGTGATGCTAAACTGGTTTCATTGGAGGTTTCAGATTAAGACAGACTAGGAAGAAAAGGCCTGGTGATGTACTTCCAGAAATTAGCCAGTGAAAACCTGTGAACCTCAGTGGTCCAGTCTGTAACCAATCATGGGGATGGCACAGGACCAGGCAGTGTTTTGCTCATTGTGCCTAGGGTCACCATGAATCAAGGGCCAACTCCATGGTAGCCACCAATCACCACCACATATTTCTTCAGCACTCTCTCAGTCTGTCACTCCTCTCTCATTTATTTACCTACTCACTCACATATTTCAGCAAACATTGATTGAACATTTTCCTAAGTCCAGGCACTGTGCTGGGCTAGGAGAGAGTGGTGGGCAGTAAGCTCCACTGGAGCCAGGGCTCTTACTCTTTATGGTATCCCCTGCATGTAGCATCATATGGGGCACAGAATAGGTACTTTGTAAATATTGGCTGGTTGAATGGAATAAAGGTTAGTTTCTACCCTGAAGGGGCTCATAGTTTAGGGTGGAAGAGAGAGAGAAGGAAAACAGCCTGGTGAGCAGATGATGAAAATATATAGAGGGTGCTGATGAAAACCCAGGGCAGAGGCGTTGAATCCTATGAGATGGGAGCAAGGTGTGGAGGCTAAAGGGTGAACAGAGAGAAGGGTCAGTAAGGGGAGATGCAGAAGTAGACAGCAGGGAGGACAGCAAGGGTGGGGACCAGAGATCCAAGGGAGGAACATCATGGGGGGGTGTGTATGGGGGAAGGCTTGGAGAGGGAGTGGTGAGAGATGAGTGTAGATTAGTTGTGTGAAGTCCAGACCCTAGAGGGATTTTATGCTATGAAAAGAAATTGCTTTCTCTTGCTTCTATATATAGGTGGCTGGGAGCCATTGAAGCTTTTATAACAAGGAAATGATGTGGTCAGATTTGTGTTTTCAGTTGGGTTACCCTGTAGGTAACCCACCATATGGTGGCTGAGAGAGTGGGCAGGAAACAGGAGAAAAGTTGAGGGCCTGAACGAGGGGTGCAACAGCAGGAGACAGAGGAGGGTTGTTGGGATAAAAATGGCTCCAACCAGCTCTCCTCACCCCAAGGCATGTTTTGGAGGAAGCCTGTCAGTGTAAAACCCTCTCAGATTGCACTGGGCAAAACCATGTTTGGAACTTGGAGGTGGGACTTGGGAAGGGCCACCTGTCCGGGAGTGTGTGGTCATCTGCTAAGCTGCCCTCTTTCCTTTGCAGTGACTAAGCTGCAGGTGAGCAAATCTAAGCGGACCCTCACCCTGGTGGAGAACAGGCCCATTCAGCTGAACTGCTCAGTTAAGTCCCAGACCAGCCAGAACTCTCACTTCGCAGTGCTTTGGTATGTGCACAAGCCTTCGGACGCCGACGGCAAGCTCATCCTCAAAACCACCCACAACTCTGCCTTTGAGTATGGCACCTATGCCGAGGAGGAGGGGCTGCGCGGTCGCCTCCAGTTTGAGAGGCACATGTCTGGGGGCCTGTTCAGCCTCACTGTCCAGAGAGCTGAGGTCAGCGACAGTGGCAGCTACTACTGCCATGTGGAGGAATGGCTGTTGAGCCCCAACTATGCCTGGTACAAGCTAGCAGAGGAGGTGTCGGGGCGCACGGAAGTCACAGTGAAGCAGCCAGGTAAGAACACAGGGTGCAGCCATCATGGGCCAGGAAGTTTGGTACAGTAACTGCTAGAAAGATCAAGGTGGGCTCTGTGGGGCCCACCTAGTGAGACCATCCACAAAGTCTACCCTGGTTGTGGCTACAGGTACATACTCTATCATCCTAGTGCACTGCAGGTGTTTCCACTTTACCTGGGCTTGGTGCTCGTGCTGATGACAAACTCAGAAGCATCCTTGACTCTGCTTTTATGTCCAGAGTCTTAGGAGGCCTGAGAAGGCAGTTGTGGTTAGTAAGACGCAGCAAGGCAGGATAGGTGACAGCTCCTGAGACTTCTGGGTTTGCAGTTTGCACTCTGGGCCTCAGGCTGGCACCAGCTCAGTTCCACCCCCATGATTCCTGTTTAGAACCATGTCTGCTTC